CATATTTTTGCCTTAATACTGCCCCAATATCATAATCACTTGCATCGCACATTAATTCAAATGGTTTTTCCTAGTCAGGTGAAACAATAATAGGTGCAGTGATTAATTTCTCTTTAATAAACTAGAGGCAATTAGGCATTCCTCATTAAAATAAAAGTTCATGTCTTTTTCTAAAAGATGATACAGTGGCTTGACAATTTTTGAAAAGTCTTTAACATACCACCTATAGAACCCAACTTGTCCTAAAAAACTCCTAACTCCTCTCACTATGTAGGTGGTAGTAATTCAACAATAACTTGAATTTTTGTTGGATCTACTTCCATGCCATTTTTAGAGATCTTATGTCCTAACACAGCTCTTCTTGCGATCATAAATTGACACTTTTCTCAATTGAGAACTAAATTTGTTTCTTTACAATATTTTAAAACCTTAGCTAAATTATCTAAACATGAATCAAAAGAGATTCCAAAAACTGAGAAAATCTTCATGAAAACTTCAATTCCTTTCTCAATTAAGTCACAGAAAATAAACATAAAACACCTTTGAAAGGTTACAGGTGCATTACATAAACTGAAAGACATCCTTCCAGGAGAAAAAGTCCCATATGGACTTGTGAACGTTGTCTTTTCTTGATCCTCAGGGGCTATGGGTATTTGGTGGTATCCAAAATATCCATCCAAAAAGCAAAAATAACGATGCCCCGCTAGTTTAACCAACATTTGGTCCAGAAAATGTAGTGGAAATGTTTAATTTTCTATAATAAATACAGATTCGCCTCCCAGTAACTTGCCTTATTGGAATAATTCATTCATTTCATTAACTGCTATAGTCACTCCTCCTTTCTTATGAACACAATGGGTTGGACTGACCCAAGCACTGTCAGAAATAGGATAAATGATTCAAGCATCCAACCACTTTAAAATTTCTTTCTTAACAACTTCTTTCATATAAGTGTTTAATCTCCTCTGAGGATCAGCTATAGGTTTATGATCATCTTTTATTAAAATCCTGTGCATACACGTTGAAGGGCTGATTCCTTTAATATCAGCTAACGTTCATCCCAAGGCTTTCTTATAATTTTTCAAAGTTTCCATTAATTTCTCTTCCTGATCTTCAATTAAATTAGAGGATATTATTACAGTTAATGTAGATGAATTCCCTAGAAAGTTGTACTGTAAATGAGTAGGGAGCACCTTCATCTCAAGTTCATGAGGTTTTCAATTGAAGGAATCAGTGGTTTACTATTTTCAGTAGTGTCTAAAATTTAAAAAATTTCCTGAACATAATTTGAATCCTCAGTATTTATCTCATTTGATTTATCATGATCATCAATTTCATTTTCATCCTCCAGTTCTTGTTGACTTATTTTGAGTTCATTTCTTTCTCGAAAATGACTATTAACTAATTAATTAGTAATATCCATTATGTAATATTTATCATCTTTTCATTTAGTTGGATACTCCATAGATTTTAACACATTAAAAGTAACTTCTTGGTTATTAACTTTCATAGTCAACTCTCCTTTTTGCACATCTATCATTGCTCGTCCAGTGGCAAGGAAAAGGTCTCCCTAAAATGATAGGTATTTCATTATCTCTCTCTATATCTAAAACAATGAAATCCCTCCAACAAAATTTCCTGTTGATCTATGCAATGCTCACTCAATCCCTTACAGATATCTCACAAAATCCCCTCTCCAATCTCTCTAGAAAAGGTAAGAATCCACATTTCCTACTCCTATCTACGATATCTTAGCATTCTTGGAGAATTCTAGGACCTAGAAATGCCAAAAGTCCTCTCTTTTGTCCCAAAGAGAGAGAGAGAGAGAGAGAGAGAGAGAGAGAGAGAGAGAGAGAGAGAGACACTCGAAGAGACACATTTATAATAACCCTCAGAATTCTCAAGTCACTTCAGATGCCCCTTCAAATTTTTTCCAAATACATTGTATTTTTTAAAAAAAGAACTGATTATGGCGCTTAAGAGCCCAAACGCGACGCCTAGGCGTCAACTTTCTAAAAGCTTGAACTAACTTCTTGGCACCTAGGCGTCAGATCCCGATGTCATGGTGTCGGGCTCTTTGATTCCACGTACAGGGTCTGGCGCTTAGGTGTCAGAAGATGACACTTAGGCACCAGTCCACTTTGTGCTTCTTTGCTCCATTTGACTTCATTTTGCTCCATTTTCGCTCTTTTTCTCCAAAAGTCTATCTCTTGTACCTTAAACCAAAAACAGGCAAAATAACTTCCACTAAAGCGCAATATCATTAAAAATGTGCATAAAATGTATAAGAAAAATAACACATTTTTAGGCGTGTCAAACTTCCAGGAGCATAATAACTTATAACACCCCAGGGGAAATGATATAATTTTTGCATCTTTATCTTTCTATCTATAAATAGGACAGTTTTTCATGTGGGGGGACTCATGCCATTTGAGCTTTTTAGTCATTTAGGCATCACTCTCATCTTCTCTTTTAACAACTTCTTTTAATATATAAAATGAGCCCGGGAGCTAAGGAAAGACCCCCACTCTGCTCGTTAGCGGCAACGCTGCATCACTCCTTTCACCCTCTTGTTCTCCCACTCTCTCGGTGTCTACACTCCAATTCTTGGGCATGATCTGCATGACAAATTTAGGTTCAACAATATGTAAAATTTAAATTTAGGTGTTAGATATGTAATTATAAGAGAATCAAGTGGCATGTATGCAAATCTTCGCTTTTAAAAAAAGAGGCATCAAACATGGCAATTTACAAATATAGCACTTTTTCATTCAATTTTTAAATTGTCTCTGACAAATGAAAATTCCCTACGAAATTTTATCAAATTCTCAATAGTTTGATATTGACACACATACAAATGTCAAAAAATCTCATAGTTCACAAACAACTTGTATTTCGTTGGCTAAGGAGCCTATATTTGATTCGTTCATTAAGTAAACGAGTTGAACAAAAATAAAATTTTTGAGCTCGATTTATGAACGGG